TAGCATTTTCTAATGGTCTTGCCCTACTTACCAACCTCCTTTAGTTCCACAATTAAAAAGCAAGCAAACTACTCAGACATACACAGCAGCAGGCATGGGCTCAGAATACTCCAATGCTTTCACCTGTGTAGCATTTAAAATGCAAGATGCCTCATCCATCACTTGAGTTCTTTACAAGGAAAGTGTCTCTTGAGACCATTTACACAGAAATCATCTATTGCCAAGTTTTGATATGGAAGACAGAGCTGTTCCTCAGACAAGCGATCCTGTTTTTCATTTGTGTTATGGCAGGGTAGAGACGCCAGGTAAGGGTCTCATCACACATTGCACAAACACAGAAATGGCAGCCCTTTCTCTGAAAATCTATCAAAGTCAAATATCAGCTCCTGGAATATTCTGTTAGAATTCATCTACAGCTTGCATCTCTTTTCCACTGCAGGTCACCAATAAACGTTACAACTTGGTTTACTTTGTTTGATGTATTCCAACGTATCAGGCAATAAGTAAGAACACATAAAGCCATGAATGACAGAATCATTGTGTATCTTCTGAGAATCTAAAAAGCAGCTGAAGAAGCCTAGATAAACATCTTGGCAGCTTCATTTCACTTGTAACCTGAGCAAGACTTCAACTAGATGTAATACCATTTAGACAAAACAGAACTGCTTTACAGCAGCACTGCAGTGACTATGAAGGACCACCAGAGGAGAAAGACACAGATTTTATATCATTAAGCAATAGCAATAAAATCACAATGGCAAGAATGCAATGTCATCCCCATTTTACAAAGCAAAGTGAGGCAAGATGATTTAGGGACTTGACCAACAGCAGGAATCAGAGGGAGAAGCAAGAAGAGAGCCTAGGCTGTATCCCACAGTTTCCCTCTGATATATAGCTTACTATACAGATAAAACAGGCAAAGCAGTCACATCAATAATCTAGCATAATTTGCCCTGAATAGGTCCTTGATGTTGATTTGTAGTGAGCAGCCCACCAGCAGCAAACTGGTCCAAGGACGAATGGACATATAGCACCCTAATGCAGCAAGTGACTTATTTAACTACATATTGTTTGTTTTTCTGAAGTTTCACTTCTATTTCTACCCCTGGATTTTCTTTTATAACTTCTTTCACATAAAAGTCAAATACTCACTGTAGTAATCCTAAAAAACTATCATCGTTTGCTCAACTTTTCCCCTCCAGCCCCCTATTATTGACTTGGGAGTAATAGTACTTATGAGTATATAGTTTTGTCTTCTGTGCTCTAAAGAGTTAATTTTCATATTTTCAAAGGTTTTCTGTACATATAAGAAGTCAGAGCAAAAATTTAACATGTCAAAGAGTTGAGAGTCGTTGTAATCACAAGATCCCAGCACTTTCTGTTTTATGAAAACAAGCTAACAAAAAAGGATAATGTAATATTAATTACAGGACTACAAAGGTTGGCAATACAGAACAAACAGAAATTTATTTCACTTTACTGTTGTTTAGGCAGGGATTCACTCTCTCATTTCCAAGGAAGGAACCTGCTGTGCACTGGTACTGCAGCCTACAGAAAGCAGAATGCTTTCCTTTCACCCGATTTCATTTTCATTCCAAAAGACATGAGACTTCATCAAAACTTTTTAGGAGCGCATCACCCCACGAATTATTTTTTAAATTAAATATAAAAGCATTAAAACTTACCACAGCTGCTCAACACTTTATAAACTTTGGCCAAGGTATCCACAAATTCATAATTAAATTTCCATTTACTATTAGAAAAAAATACGAGAAAAGGCTTCACATTCTGATGAGGTACTATTATCTGTTCAACAGTGCTACCCACAATATCTCACTTCACTAGCACACAACTGAAGCATGAAACAACCAAAAGCTATTGTAACCAGAAAACCCCAAACCAAAATGATACTACAGCTTCTAAATGAGCTTCAAATACACTAGCACGTGGTATATGGCATAACTGGTAATTTCTGTGGTCTTGAGGTTTGATTTGAAAATATAAAGACTAAAATTGTTCACTGCATATATATATATATAAAAACTATATTAACCTAGATGGACTGTCTGGCAGTTTACACTAATAAAGACCCAAAAAAACTAATTGTATCTTTTTAAAGTAACCTGGTATATATTATAACAGCATATACTGCAGTGAAGTCCCATGAACTTACTCTTTCATACAGGAAGTAAACTGAGAGAGCTCTGACTTTTCATAGCATCTTTTGGCATCGTTTAAATAATAACAGTCAGGTTCATTTTCATTAACATAAAAAGAAGTTCAGATCTAATCAAGAAACAGCACTGTCTCCTGACAGTGTCTGCTCTATGCTTGCTTCAGCACGTAGGCAGCACCTGGCACTTCCATGGCTTGATCATTACTATTGCTCTTCAAATTATGCCTGTCACACAGGTTAGGAAAACATGAGTAATTAAACATGAACAGCATCATAAAATAATAGTAAGAAAAAAATTAATAATCATCCAAAAGAGTGTTTGGGGCACCTCCCTAAAGCACCTTGGATTTCTGCCCCTTCTGCTCAGACAGTTTTCCTCTGTGTACTTTTTAATTATTTCCTTCATGAGTCCTTTAAGGCAAAGAAGTTTGTAGAGGTGGGAAAAAACCCATGTATTAGAACTGATGAGAACAGTGATATGCAAAAAAGAGAAATGCCAATTAAGTCTTCTCTGAACTACTGCAGTCTGATTTTGAATTGCTTACGGCAAAGACTTATGCCTCATGATGACAATGCTAGCTCCAGATGTGTGTATTTTAAATGCAAAATTTCAGAAGCTGCTTGTTTTATTTGAGCCATGCACTACAGCTGGTCACTGGATGCAGTATCTCTCTTCTGATCCATAAGCTCATCATACCAAGTTCAGTATTTGAACCATATGCAGGTGAATGCAGAATTCCACAGTTCTGCAGCCCCAGCAGTACCTGTAGATGTGTGCTTGCTTTTGCTCAAGTAGTCAACAACCAAACTCATTCCCAGCTCAGTTCTCTTACAAAACGAGCATAAAAAAATACAGAAATAAAGACTGAGACTTTGGACCATGTTATTAACAATCCTAAGCAGACTGTTGCAGCCTATTTTTGTGCACATGGTTACTGGAATTGAGCACACAGTTCTGGTAATTGCATACAAAAATGACCAGCTACATGAGTAACGGGACATTGCCTTTGCAATTATTATTGTGTAGGAAATGTGTGAAATGTGTGATCCTTCATGTTAGTAGACATGCAAATATTGGGTAAAAATAGCATTGTTTCCAGCTGCTTTACATCCAGAATAGTTATTCAAGTACCTAACCAAAAGGTGCAAGCAACTCATTCATTCCTACTTGATCTGTGTTTTGCATGGGTATGAATTAGACAAAGCACAGTGTTGGGGAGACTCGTGCCTGTCTACATAAAAAGAAAAATCAGTGCAGCAACATACATAATGTTTAACACATTCAAATCCACATATTAAAAGCACATTTAGAGATGGTTCTTGTTCTCATTGAGTAAGTTTTGCTGGAGTGTGTGCCCTAAGTTATGTATTTTCATGCAAACTTCAGCACCTCTCTGAGATAAAGCTCTTCTTCCCACCAGTCTAAGTGCTTCATTTTTCTATATTCAAGATAAAAATTGCTTCATTTACCACATCAGAGGTGCTAACTGGTGTACTGAAAGTGCACCAGCAATTCAAGACACCTGCTCAAGATATCTAACAAAGTATTTTGGCTGGGAATACCCATTTCTGGGAAGGAGGGACTTGCATGTTCTCATGTAAACTCCCCACTGAAATCCACAGGATCCTGGCCAAGCAGTGACGGAGTGGGTTAAATACAGACAAACTTTGTAATGTTCATTATCACTGTTGGTAGCATCCCACCAGGCTAAACTTACAAATTTGGCAGTTGGAAGAAATTAACTGTCTGCATCTGTCATTATTCCTGCTCTTTACATATCTGAGTGATTTAGTCCTCTGTCCACTAGCTTGGAGTAAAGACCACTAAACTTATATGCAGATTCCCTCTAGTTGACTTCAGGGTTTAGTTTAAGCTCTTTTTTCTCAGCATCAACAGATAAGATAGGATGCATACCTTGCTTAGTTTGTTCTTGGACCAAGTGACCTTGGACATTCTTAGTATGTCCAATTTATAATTCTTTTTATCTTCTCTCTGTTGTTTTTCTACTACATTTTTTTCCTTTTTCACCATTAACTTCCTCCCTGTCTTCTTAAAGGCTCCACCCCTGGCCTTCCTATTCCCCAGCTCAGTGCAATCCCTGTCTTCTGCTTTCCCAAGTCTTTCCCACCTTTCACACGTATCAATACATATATACTTCAGTCTTTAGTCACATCTCTGGTTGGCTCCCTCCACTAACCAGCTTTCCAGCAGAGTTTGATTGCCAGGACTGAGGCAAATTATACTCAGATTCATTAATTAAGATATAATAAACTCCACTTGCTCTTTATCAATGTGCCATATGTGGTGAGAAAAAAAGAAAAAGGGTATATGAAACCAGGAGACCCTCTGGCTGGTTTATGGGCCCAAAATCTTTCTGGGAAGGTCACAAATCTCCAGATATCTCCACACATTAAGTTTTGCACTTGGATTTCTAATTTAGCTGAAAGATGTGTAAAACCACATGCAGTCAGACAGCTCCTTGGCTATACATCTGAGGAAGCTCAAAGCATAAGTTATTACTTCCAAAGTCAATTGTAACTTATGCTCACTAAATTGGCTCCAGATCCACCCTTTTCAGACAGTAGTATTGGAATAATTTATTCTTTTGGTGAAAAGCACCCATTTAAACTAAACCACACCCCCAGCTGGGAGTCTCACCAGCAGAAGTGCCAAAGGCAGAGGGATTCAGAGGCGCACAGGGCTATTGGAGGCCAGCGGAACAGGGGTGAATAAAGCACAGTATGTAATAGTGTCTGTCAGCACGCTGAAACGTATAACCTCTCCCTAACATAGGGGGTCTGCAACAAAAATCTGAGAGGAAAATTTGTTCCTGCGGTTCAATCATCACGTTAGACAAAGAGGTTTCCTTGCTTTTAACATCCATGCAATTTATACCAGAAATCTTATGGATGGCGGTGAAACCATTGCAGCTTTCTGGGGACCTAATGTTTTGATCTAAGCCCTCAGTGTGTATCTTGTTTTCTCCCATCAAGAAAATGCTGTACATAAATATGGCAGAAGGGGGATGAAAGCTGTAAGTTTAGACATCTAACCCAGATGCCAAGTTAAAAGCCTAGCCAATGAAGAAGTACAAAATCTACATAAACTAGGAGCTTTTCTTTCACTAATTACAGTGGCAGCCTGAGTTAAATGGCTTACATGAATTCATCCCCTTCCAATGGCAGCAGTGATTTGAAGCGGTTTGCTTCACCAGAGAGTTAACTTCCCCATGAAAGTTTGCTTCACTAACTACCTATGTAAACACTGACATACACATCTTGCAAAGACTTTTCTTTCCCCAGGTGAACTGCTGCATCACCAGATACCCAACAGGAATCTCCTCCTATAAGATCCTTAATAGCAGCAGCTGCTGAAGGGAAAGGAACTGCAGAGACGCACTTGTTGCCAAACTGTGCATTTAGATGGAAGGAGGAGAAACAGATGGGGAAATCACTCTTCAGACAGTATTTACTAGCACAATCAGCACCTGAGGCAGCACTTACTCAGGTGCTGAAATTACAGAGGTAAGTTTTATGATGAGAAATCTATCCCTCATGTGACAGCTATATTTTTCATCATGGATCATTAAAAGCAGATGATCCGTCAGATAACTACTTGATTGTAACGTGCATCACAGTAAAACCGTCAACTTTCTGTTTTGTTTTACAACCCTGGTTACATCTGGAATGCTTTCAAGAAGGATGCTGATGTTCGCTTTGGGTACAAACTGACTCAGGGCACTTCTGGACTGCTACCTATGCAGTAGTAGATAACAAGAATAATGAGAAATGATAGCAATATTACCTCCAAGTTTGCTACTAGGAAGATCCCTATATTACCACCAATATAAATTTGTTTAATATTTTTCTTGGACTGGACCACAAGGAGGATTCTTAATTGTCTAACAACTTTGTCTTCCTTTTCAGTCAAACAGATTATTTTTTCCAGTCCTACATATCCTCTTACATTACAGATCTTTTCTACAACTACTAATTCAATAACGATAATAGTAAAACGAGTATTTGTAGTAACTAGCATAGTTCCATATTTCTATAATAACAACAGTAATTTCTTCACATAGTATTTGTTGTTAGTCATTTCTAATTCTTGTCCTCTAAGAGGTAGGCAAAAAGGTGAAACTACTTTTCCAAGGTTGCAGAGCAAGCCTCAAGTAAAATTCCTGATTTATCTGAGAGTACATAGTGGAAATGTGAGCTTTGCTGTAATTGGACACCCCAAAGAGACATGTTACCAAAAGCAATTTTAAAAAAGACTTAAAGATCTGCTCTTGAAGATTGTTATCTCAGCAGAGCACTAAAATTGGAAAAAAGTTGTCCTTACTGATGTGCAGTCTGCCTCTTTGCTTGGCAAGGTTACAACCCCGTTAAACAAAACAAACCAAACCAAGCCTCTGGTCTTGCACAACTCTGCCAGGAGGGCTTGCAACTTCTTTGGACAATTGAGGTTGCTTTTAAATTGTGGGGTTGATCCATCACATGTTGAAATCAGCAATGCTGAACCATAGCTCAATATTCAAATGAGTTCTGTATGGAGGAACAGCATTTCTGTAACCAGCCAGGACACATTGAGTCACTTCATTCTTGACCTTAACCAAACAGGTTAAAGCAATATATACTTCATATTGCCCTGCAAAGCTCAGCTGTGCTTGGTATTAGCAAAAACGTTCATTCTTTCCAAGTATGAGACTTCAGCCACTTTTGTTCTGACTGCATGATAAAATTCAGATGTTTAAAAAAGATCCTTCTCCTCTACAAATGCCCACCCAAGCAGCACCAGCAGGGTTTCTGCTAAAACCTGACAATGAAATTTGCCTTTGGAGAAAGACAAAGCATGGAAAACTTTAGTGTAAACAACAACTGTTTCAGAAAATTATGAGTGCACCAGCCTGAGGTAGAGGAGTTGTAAAGGAATGTATTTTGTCAGCTCAAATTCAACAGACCTTATCAAGCACTTAAAGTCCCTTATAGTCTCTTAGTGTACAGTTCAGGCCTTCTCCACTGCACTGATGGTGGTCTGACCAGCCCTTCACCCCAGTCACACAAATACAGTTTTCTTTTGCAATAGTAGAGATACAGCTAGCTCCTAAGGGGACTCTGTAAGTGGAAGATACCTGTCCCCAGAGCCAACTGTGCCTATATGTGTGCTAAATTACTGAACTACTTGAACTAGATGATCTTTAAGATCCCTTCCAAAACTAGCTATTCTATGATTCTATGATTATATGATTCTACTTGTGCTGAGTAGCTAGGAACTGATGGGACTGAGTCTGTCTTCTTCCTTGATACCTTACTAGATAGATATTGGGGAGGAGCATGGAAGAAGAGAATCAAAGATTAAGTGATGGAGAAAGTGCCATGCTCTGGATCCATAAGGACAAAATGGGCAGAAATAGGGACTGCACTTGCAAAATAATTGGGACGTCTCTCTGTTGTGAGGTAGGTGTTCTCACTGAAGGTCCTAGAGATGTTTATGTGTCATTAAGATGATGAAAGGAGCTTTAACACCTGCCTGGTTGTAGGGAAACAGTGCTCCATCAAGACCTAGATCATGCTACCTGTAATAAAGTACTTATAGGATGAAAACAAATGTGCTGGGGTGTGTGTGTGTGTGTGCGTGTGTGTGTGTGTGTGTGTGTATCCACGTGTCTGTGTGTCTGTGTGTTGTGAAGTAGGGGTTGAATTGCAGGCAGTACATCTTCCCCCCTTTTTTAATTTTTCATTTAAAATTACTGTATTTAAACTGAGGGGTGTAACTAGAAACCGGGAGTTTAAAAAAGCAGAAGGTAAGCAAGATACATGCAAGTGTTGCTACTGCATTTCCACAGTCTTCAGGTTATCTAATAAAACTATTATTTCATTTTGCAGATAAGGCATTGCTATTTCAAGTTAAGTGATATTTCTATTTAAAAATTCATATTTCATTGTAAAAATAATCTCTGAAAAACAGGTCTATACTTACAAAATCAAGAAATACATTGGAAGCACAAGTTTTTAGATGCTTCTGTTACTGCAAACATCAGACATCACACAAAAAAAAAAACACTCTTTTTTTTTCAATATGGTTATTAATTTTTGTATTCCAGTAATTCTCTAGAGTATGTCCTTGCATATAGAAAGATAGAAGCCCCTGTGTTTTGTAAGCAGAAATTCCTTTTGCCAGAGAATCAAACTGGGATTTGATGGTTGTCCTACAACACTTTTAAGGAATTAGCCTTCATTTATCTGCTTGTGTCTTTAATTGTTGGTATGATAAAAGTTTGGATAATCTCTGAGGAAGCACAAGAAAATGTAAAAGAAATTTGTATTTTATTTATTTTTTTAAATCATTATATTACCTGATAGTCCTTGCAGCTGGGGAGGGTCCTACAACTTCCCTTCTAGTACAACATACAAAATCCCTTTCATGATAGTTAATTTAAATTGCAAGACATTCATTTCAGTATTGTGAGATTTCACACTAGGGTTTACTACTGCACTTTCTCCTTGACGACCCTCTTCCCATCCTTGCAGCAATATCTCTCTGCCAAACCAGCCCAATGTTCGTATTTTAATTGAGGCTAATTGAATCCATCTGCCACATGACTCAGGGGTTACTCTGAACTGTAGAGAAAAGTCTATTCCTATGACAGATCTCAGAGATTTCAGCCCTGCTTTAAGAGAATGCTGTTTTCTGTTAAATTTTTTTATAAAGGAAGTTTAGATTTTAGCACAGATGTTTGCACAGCAGTGAAGAACTGAATGAGACACTTGACGCATCTCTGCCAAGCAACCTAAAGTCAAAGGTAACAAACATATGGCTACTGCTCTCTGTGTCATAGCTTGCGTGCCCTTACTCATGATGCTGAAAGGTCATTTTTACAACTTGTTGTGCTTTTGCTATCACGGAGATTGTTGCTGTCCTTGAGTATAGAAATAGGAAATACTTATGCCAAGAAAGCGCTTAAAATGGGCACTAATGTGGAATGTGTTTCTACTTTTCTTTGCAGCCAAAAAGAAGGTAGTATTTAATAAGTATGTCCTGTGAGTGTGTTCGTGAACAATTCTCAAATAAATTGGAGTGTATGATTACTTTTCATTGGCAACTGAAGAATCACAGTATTATTTTGACATAGTTTGGCCACTGACATATTTTTAATTGAGGGATAAACACATAATATTATATTACTTCAACTGTTGTTACAACAGTGCATACAAGTAACTCCTGCTGATTTAACAGTGCTTGGAAAAAATAATACAGCATTTGTCTCCATGGAACAAAATTCTTCAAGATCCTGGCAATTACTTGAATGAAGTAACAGAAGCAACAAAAAGTACTAAAAGTTCTAAATAACTAATGGGAACCAAACTCAAGCAGCTTCCCCTATGCCAAGAACCACAGAGACCTGATCTTGACTTTTAGCAGTTCTGCCTTTAACAGAGCTCCTAGTGGTTTATATTGGTCTAAAAATTAGGATATGTTTCCATGAATTCAGTCTTGTCATTCTTCTTAAAATGCAGTTTGAAGAAGCCTTGTATCCAAACAAATCATATGTTGTGGGAGATACCACTGAATGATTTACTGAAAGTGTGAGAGGCATTTGGTATGTCCTGCTAAATGTCTTGGACTGGACAAATCATGGGGGAAATATTTTCAACTCCTTGTCAAGTGCTGAACTGTTCTGCTCAGCACTACAGATCTGTCTTCTATACTCTCCAAAGGGCTGAAGTGCAATGACAAAGCATAATGGACCTCTCTAAATATTTAAGCAACAGAGAACAATAGTATGAGACAATACTGCAAGATAGTGATGCATGCAGGGAGTGCTGCTGGCCTTGAAGTCACCTCTTGAATGTGGCAACACCCTAGGGTGTCTTCTTCCATTGCATCATTCAAATACGAACTGGAAAAAAAAGAAACCTCAGACCCTTAAAAAAACCTGTTTTCAGTGAGGAATTATTAGTAGATGGAAGCTGGTGGAGAAAGGACTTTGATTTCTGCAACTTTAATTCCCACTTGAATTTCATGTGTGTTCAAAAAGGTAGCTTCTCCTGAAGGAATGGCAATATTGAGGTCATTGCTCAGCATACAGTCACTTCATCTTCCCAGTGAGCATGTCCCACTTTGGGTGTCATTTGCAGACAACTCCCTGAAGCAAACTGGACTTTGGTCACTTTTCTTCTGTGTTGCTTGCATGGCCCTGTGGCTACCTATGGCTCTGATCCACCATGAAGTTTACATTAATACTAATATAAACTCTAAGGTGAATCTAGCCAAGTATTTCAGATGTCTTAATTCCACTGAGCAAATATTTTCAGATATCATCCCAACTCAAAACTTTTCCATGTTTGATTCCAAATGAATCTTTTCTATGACAATGTTTATATTTGGCTACCTGCTGAACCAAACCAACCGGTTTCTATGGAGCTATGCCGGGAAGGAATTTGGCCTATTCTCTTTCAAACATATTGTGCCTGAAAAGATGTGACATGTGATGCCAACTGTCTGTATTTTATCTTGAGTTGTTTCAGATAAATAGTGCCTGTTTTCTAGTAGGCTGAAGTACATCCATGGGGCCACTGCTTCGTGGGAAGTGGAAAAGAAATACTTCCCTTTCAACTGCAGCCACCTTGAAACCCAAATACTCTGAATAGCACTGTAATCAGAAGCATTAGACACATAGATTTAAATTGTATGTCAGATTTTAAATAAATGTGCAGTGGATTGATTTGATTAAGGGAGCCATATTTCACCTGCTAGTAACTGGGGATTGCATGCCCCATTCTTCTGCAAATACAACTCTGACTGTGCCTTTTGTTTGCTGAAATCATTCCGAGAATGCCTACTCTGCTAGTGGAATATTGCATACAAACTGGGAAGTAAACTGCTGTTTCATCGTGGGTGTCCACTGGTATTCACTTGGAAAGGCACACAGCATGAAGCCCCCATTGCTGTGAATAGCACTGTTATCTGATACAGCAAGACATGACACAATCAGTCACGGAAAGGGAATAAATGTTTCATCAAACACCATAAGTACACAAACAACATAAGTACATTTACATAAAAGTAAATGCTAGGATGTCTGTTTAAGTGTGATTTTTAAATTAGGCTTTTAAGAATGTGATGAACTACTTTTTTTTTTTTTTTTTTTCTGATGTGACTTGTTTCCAAGAGATGCAGGTTGACACTTTTGTCTAAAGTCAAATGCCTATGGGACTGGTGGATTTTGCTTTGTCACCTTCATGCAACCAGGTACATCTGGCATTGTGTGCCACAGGACTCTGGCTTGATTTAAAATACAAAGCTTGTTGGACTTTCAGGTATTTCAGGTATATTGTAGACTAATCTTACATGATATGCAACTTCATGAACTCTAGCAGTTAATTGATGCACAAACTTCCTTTCCTAAAACTGATTCAGAATTGCATATACAGGTACTTCGTGTTACAGATTAGCTTTTTTGAAGCCCTCAGAGTGGTTTAAATTGATAAAATTTCTGTTGGTTGTGATGGGTTTCTTTTTAAACAAACAACCCACAAACCAATAGGTCTTCCATTTAGCTGGCAACATATACATTAACATAAGTTAAAGAGGAAATACACCCTGTATCAGAGTCACATGAGGATACAGTCGTGTACAGAGATATAATCAAAGTAGTAAAATGATACAAGCATGTTTTAGCGTATTTGTTTCACTTTTCAGTTTACTGAACATTAGCTGCATATATAATGAAAAGAAATTGCTTGGTTTCAGTCTTCATTAGCTAATAAAGTAGGCTATAGCAATACACAGCTGTTGAACTGTAACACATATCCTTTGTAGAGTATCAAGAAGCCAAAAAGCCACAGCACCATGACCGAAAAAGATAACTAGGCAATACTTACACACTAAGTGGTACCAAGAAAAGATATATTCCTTACCTGAATTTGTAATCGTTCAATGCTGTTCTTTACAAGGGGACCCTAGGCACAGCTGAAATGCTACTTATTATTTGCAAATAGATGTACAGTTGATAGAAAATAATTTCCCATAATGATTATTTATTTTTATAATTCTTCAATTGTAATTGGTAAATAAATAATAAACGAAAACTTGCAATATACAGTTGTCTGTGGACTCTGTTAGCAATTAACAGATACATACAGAGACATTTCTATTTACAGAGAAAGTGCTTGAAGAAAATGGACCTGGATCATTTAATCATCTTTGGCATGAGAAAAAAAAGATTGCCATGAATTCTAACATTTATTTGCAAACATGCAGGCAGTCCTGTATGATTATTATGTATATGATGTCAGTATGCTTTTAAATTGTAACAGATATGAATGACTTAGCATATAAAATAACCTCAAGTTGTCATTAGGAAGCTATGACAGTCATTCCCTCTTTAATTTTCCACCAAAAACACCACAGCTGAAATGGTTCTGGAGCAGACAGCTATGAAAACAGAGTGGCAGTAGGAAAGCCTGCCTTTTGAACTCATGTGAGATAAAGGATAATTATACTGGCTGCACTGTTGGGTTATTTTAACTGCTTGCTTAGCATACAAACAGTGTAGTCAGAATGAGGCTTGCTGTCACCCTGGTAGGCAGACAGGTACATCGGCT